GACGTGCCAGTCTGCTTCTGTAAAGATTTATAGCCATGGGAAGCCTATGGAACAGTTCTACCCTGTTCTATAGTGTTGTTATGAGTCAGAAGCGACTCTGTGGCAATCCGTATCATCATAGTAAAATAGGCAAATTTTAGGAGCATAGGAGGGCACTTCTGGTAACAGTGCCTAAGGCATTTGACCACTAACCAGAAAGATGATGGTTCAAACCCACCAGCCACTCCTCGAAAGGAAAGTTGGGCAACCTACTTTCGTAGTGATACCACCTCGGAAACCCAAGGAGGGGTCGCTGTGAGTTATATCCAACTCGACAGCAGTGAGCTAAGCTGAGGAGGGCATCTTAGCACAGTCTGTTTATAAAGAATTCTTTCTAGATTTCTCATGACCAGCTCAAAAGAAAGCCAAGTGTTTGTGTGCTCACTGGTAGCCAGTCTACTTAGAACCCTGAGCAATGCTGAGTAGGCAGAGGGAACCTCTTCTAGGCATAGTGTAAGTCTGGGTGTGACCATGTAAGTACTGTCTGTATCTCATATCTTCTTGTTGTTGTTGTTGTTATTTGCCGTCGAGTCGGCCCCGACTCATAGCGACCCCTCCTTGGGTTTCCGAGGCAGTATCACTATGGAAGTAGGATTGCCCAACCTTCCTTCCGAGGAGTGGCTGGTGGGTTTGAACCGCCAGCCTTCTGGTTAGCAGTCAAGTGCCTTAGGCACTATGCTACCAGAGCTCCCAACATCTTAGCTTTCCTTATTTGTTGTGGCATTGCTTCCAAGCTTTCCTTATTTGTTGTGGTATTGTTTCCAAGCTAGCCACACAATGCCTCTTATCCCACATGCCCTTATGCAATGTGTCTTTGCCATGTTTCCCTTCAGCAGTTAAAGCTTATTTCCCCTCCTCTTGAATCTGAAATGGCCTTGTGACTAGCTTTGGCCAACAGATTGTGGCAGAAGTGAGATTCCCCAAGTTCCAGAACCTAGGCCTTAAGATGCATTTCAGCTTCTACTTTTGCCTTTCTGTAGCTCTAACCTTTCATGGGAGTCCAGTTAGATAGACCTGGTAGATAGATCACTGACAGACTTGATTAGTCCTGATGAATAGACTACCTGAGAGATGCTGGAGGTTCAAAGAGCAAGAGAGAGGTTCCACTATTCTAGCCATCCCAGGTAAGGGGCCAGAAGTGAGGCAGGCCACCCTTCATCTTCCGGCTCAAATCACAGCTGCCTGAGTGAACCCAGTCCTCCCCATGTGGAATGGAGACAAGCCATCCTAGCTAAGCCCTGTCCACAGCTCATGGAATCATAAGCAATACATAATTATTGTTTAAGACAGTAAGTTTGGGGACAGTATGCACCATGGCAGTGGGTTATGGAAACACCTAGAGTCCTGGACCAAAAAAAACCACTGCACTTCTTGTTTCTTTGGCTGCATTTTTCTTTCCCTTGTCTGGTCCATATTGGTTTTGTATTATTATTATTATTATTTCTTTTACAATTTATCAACAGCAAAATATCACTAGCATTAGTCAATCTACTTTTATTAAACTAAAGGTTAGAAAAGGCAAAGGAACATAAAATTAAGTCAAAGTTGGGTCTAAGTGAAAATAACACCAGCCACTCCTCAGAAGGAAGATGGGACAATCTACTTCCATACTGATACTCCTCGGAAACCCAAGAAGGGGTTGCGACTCGATGGCACGTAACAACAACAACAACAGTGTGTTTTAGGGGGCATTATCACCATATAAAATGTTTACATTTTTCCCCTTCTAGACTAAGCTCCCCTAAGTGCAGAAATATGTCTTATTTACCTTTATACCCAACCAACACCTGGTCTGTATAGCAAAGTAAATCCTCAAAAATTGACTAAATGAGTAAAGAAGGTATCTCCTGTTTCTTGTAATAGTGATGCTTTTATTAATCTGGGTTAAACAGGACTGTGTTTATTTCATGTAAAATAAGTGTCGTGCAAGCTGCATTTATTTATTCTTATTCCATTAGATTAATTTATCTTCTAAAAAGATGAGCCAATGAAGTCATTGAGTGAGAAATGGTGGGGCTAGGGTTCATTGCAAGACACAAGAAACTAAAAGTTCTAAGAATAAAAATGAAGGGCAAAGAAAGTAAAGAAACTGCCATAAAAGCTGTCAGATAAGAAAGTCAATGAACAAAGAAAAAGCAGGACAGGTGAGGGAAAAAGAGAAAACAGAGCTGCGAAAGAGGGGGAGGATGAGTCTGGCTTAGTGCTGACCTGCCCAAGGAAGTGTCCATCAACAGAAGCCTCACTGACAGATCTCACCATAATGGGAGCAGGCACCTAAAGAGAGGGTAAGTCTAGTTTAATTAGTTAACTGGCATTATCTATGTCCAATGGGGATGGGGAAGGTAAAGAAATTGAAGGATTGGTGACCCACCTCCTTCCAAAGGCTGAAAGGAAAAACAGATTTACAAAGCTTTGCCAGGAATTAAAAACACAGGAGCTATTTCTTCCCCATTTGTCCTCATAAGATTCCCATCGGCTCCTACTCACCAATTATATCTTAAAGGGGAACTGTTCTGCTCTGGTTAAGGGAAACTAGGATTAAACACAGTTCTTTACCTTGAATTGAGCCACAAATAGGTTTACTCACCTCCTTCCCTTCTGTCCTCCAGCCAGCCTCAATTCAGGAGTCTTTAATGGTGTAGAAGAAAGCCGTGGACCATCACTGCTCACTGAAAGTTAACAATAGACTGGGATTCTGGACCTGGGTTCTTAATCAACTTTTGCCACTAGTTGGCTGAGTGTGCAACTCATTTTACCAGTTCCGTCTCTTTAACACTCAGATTCAATATTATAATCCCACAAATGAAAAAATAAATTCTGCAAAATATTCTCTTTAAGAAAGCAAGGTCACAGGGAGATAGCTCAGGGTGCAGAAGAGTATGAAGGGATGGACACTGGGAGGAGGTAACTATGGGGAGGAAGTGGGAGGGGAGCTGCTGCATT